TGTACTTCATCCGTCCCATAACTATTGTGTCAAAAACTTCTTACTCCTGCTCGGCTGGCTGGCTGGCCTCACACTACACACAGCTAGTACTACTAGTAAATTTTCATGCATGCATAGTACTCACTTGGTAAACCAATATAAAGAGCGTTTAGATCACTAAAATAGTGATCTAAACACATTTATATTTCTTTACGAAGGGAGTAGATTGTAATTTTACTACTGATGTGTTTGGATAGTACTTTCACTGAATTAAAATTAAAAAATATGGACATGTTTTGCAATTAAAATTGAATGTAGATCGCTAGCTTTGAATTCGAAATGCACCATCGATCATCATGTAGTTAATTACTCCCTCCGTTTCTTTATATAAGGTGTATTTGTTTTTTCATAAAATTCTACAATGTAAGGTGCATTTCTTCTAAATCCTCCTAATTCCCTTTTTAGCCCTCCGGCAAAAGGAAAATATATTTCTCCTGATTGCATGTACCTTTCTTTGTTGCAAAATAAGGAAATAATCTCTCTCTTGATTGCATGTATCTCTTACTTTCCTGCACTCACTGATTTACTTGCCACTAATCAATAAATTTGCCAAGGGTAATTCTATCCTAATACCTCCGCGCCTTGGTCATCGTGCCAAAAATAACACATCTTACATAAAGGAACGGAGGGAGTACTTACTAGTTTGTGTCATCAGATTGAGCCATGGAAGTAGATAGATAGAAAGATGCAAAATCCTCCTCCTCTACGAACACGTCTACATGCCAATGCCGTTGACAAAGCACTCGTTTTTCTTTCTTTTTTAAAACGAAGTCGCTCACATATGTCACACACTCGTCTCTACGAACGAGGACATGCACATCCTACTCATATGGGCATCTTCGAGGGTCTGGGAAAAAAGCAACATGGTTTGTTACAATGGATATGCATGGAAATATCTAGTCTCGCGAATGAGGACAATGTTCGTTTCTGATCTCAAGGCGGCGAGCGTGCTCGTTTACCACCACAGCACTCTCCTCCGGTGAGCTGATACACGACCCCTGCTAGCCGAGCGTGGCCATGTCCTCGATGCTCGGACGTGTCACGATGGAGAGCGGATCATGGAGGAAGACTATGTTCAGAATGTTTTTCTTCATCGTGTGTTCAATGAGGAAGTATACATGCGGCTGCCACCGGGGTTCATTGATCCTGGTCGTCCTCATCACTTGTATCGGTTGGAAAAGGCATTGTATGGCCTGAAGCAGGGGTGTCTGTCATACTCGTCTTGCCTAAGGTTTTCATGCTCACGGCTTTGTTCCATCTACAACTGATACATTAGTCCTTATAAAACGCCCGAGGTTACTATGTAACTTCTGGTTTATGTTGATGATATCATTTTGTCAGTTCTTCAGACGTTGCTGCTGATGGACTTCTCTCAACTCTTAGTTCAGATTTTGCTGTCAAGGACCTCATCAAGCTTCATTTTTTCTGGGTTAGGAGATCACTCATACCACTACTTCCCCAACAACAGCCTCTTCTTCCTCGTCCACGGTCAGTCCAGACGCTATTTTGCAGTCAGTCCATTACCCAATTGCCATCCTCTTCCTCATGGATATGTGCGATTGCCATGCTTTGCTCTTTTCGCTCAGACAATTAGTCTGTCCCTACATATCATCCTCTTTTTAGCTCAGTTTCTCATGGCCGTGCACCAATCCATCCATGTTTACGAGAAAAAAAATTAATTTGCACCCCCTAATTTGCCATGAAAGCACGAAACAGTTTATTACTAGCTAGGAGTGTTCATTCATATGGACACTAAAGTGCACACACATCCTGCCCGTGGCCATGAGCCAACCAACCAAATGGGAAAGGAAAAAGATGTTTTTTCTCTCCACTTGGCAAGCACGGGGGAAGCATGCAGCAGTTGCACATCCGCCCATCTCTTCTTTCTTGTTGGGTAGCCATTCATTCCATAGCTGGCTTGTTGGTGCTACGGGACACTTTGGTATGCGCAAGCCTTATGCCTGTGCCTCACCTATACCTACAGGTGTAAATAAAAAGCTTGTGTACGTGGTGCCTGCCCTAGGCTATGGTGTTTGTTCCAGCTCATACCACTAGTTTATGAATAGCATTGCAAGGACTCACTCACTCGACATGTGTACGTAGCTAGTGTACTATAGGAGGAGGAGTAGAGGTGGCAGGCAGGGCATGTGACATGGATTCATGGCGGAACAACTTTATTTATCAGTAGTAATTCATGCTGCAAGTCCCACATGAAGTGAAGTGGTAGGACAATAGGAGCAGTAAAAATTCATCATGCAATAGTGGTGGCATGGTAGATCCCACAGCTAGCACAGAAACGTGAATTGATACGAGAGAAAAACAAACATAAAGAAAACGAGACCAATCCGGGCTAGACTAGCCTATTGGCATTTTTTTATATAAAAAAAACTCCGTGAGCACCAAATGCTCAAACAGAGAATTGAACCTTGATGGGCTAGCTGCGAACTCCCGCGCCTTGCCAACTGAGCTACGCTCAGTTCTGGAGAAAAACAAACATGAGCAATTGATTCCTAGGGAGTGGTACAGGCTACTTGAGATTGAGGAGAAAAAGATAGTAAGTTGCTCCTGCTAAATTCTTCAGACATACTCATTTTTCCATTTTCATCACAAGCTGCTGGGGCCTGGGTTGGTGACACTAACCAATGACCAGATTCAAACAATAATGTGTTGTCCTTGTCCATGCACTGAGATGAGGTGAGGTGAGGTTAGGGCCCATGCACGAATTAATGATGTTCACGCGGCCTGTCCAAATGAGGATCCGGCTTGCCTGCTCCCTCCCCATGCTCCCATCCGCGCTCCCACTTTATCCTACGGCTGTCTTTTTTTCCTTTTCTTTTTCTAATCTAATCATCTCCCCCCCTGATTTTAAGGGGGTGGGGCCGGACCTTATTTTGTTCCAATCAAATCAAGCCACGTACGCGGGAGCACAGATGGGCATACACGGGGGAGCAGGCAAGTCTCGTCCCCGAATGAGGCACCTAGATTGATTAATTAAGGCAGGCAACTTGATGAGCACCCTCATTTTTTTTGCGGGAAATGAGCACCCTCATGCTCGTGTTGACCAGGATCCTCCTGCATGAAGATTGCCGAGGACATCGCCCCTGGCATAAATATTAATCAAGCATTATGGAAAATGTTAATTAAGCATTTCAAAAATGTTAAATATGTTTAGACAAATTGTTGACCATAAATGTTAATCTTGTATCTGAATTTTTTTAAATGTGTATTAAAAAATGTATTAGATATATACCAAAGATGTGTATAGAAAAACAGTGAAAACCCGAGGAGAAACAAAAGAAAACGGAGGAAAGAAGCAAACAAAACTGAGGAAAAAAATAAAGAAAAGAAAAGGAAACCGAAGAAAGCTGTAGAACAAAGAAAGGAAATAAAAAAAGCAATGAAAACCGAGAAAGAAACAAAAAAAAAGTAAGAAAGAATCGAAGAAGAACCTATCAAAAGAAAAAAGAAAAAAGAAAAACAAAATAAAACCCGGAAGACACTGTGAAAACCCACCTTTTTTTCTACTTATGTATATGCTATAACCGTAGACGCTTCATCGAAAGATCCTACAGTCTCGCGATAAATGAGATATAGTCACGGCGGCCCAACAGCCGAGGTGCTCACGTGCTGGCCCATAAACCACGGCCCGTTGGCCAGGTCTGCCTGAACCCAAACCCGGGAGTGTAGTGCATTTGCCGGAAAATCCTATATTAAGCTCACTGCATTGTAATGTCGATGCTTCCCATTAAACCCGGGCATGGGCAGCCCGGCCCGAAAAACCCGGGCCGGGCCGGGCCGGGCTTGACATTTGGGCTGGGCTCGGGCTTTGTTTTGCAGCCCGAAAGATAGTTCAGGCCGGGCTTAGGCTTCAATTTTCCTGTATTTCGGGCCGGGCTTGCACGTGCGCGTACTAGAAAATAGCATTCGGGCCGGGCTTTCGGGCTTCGGGCTTGACTTCGGGCCGGGCTCGGGCTTGAAAATATGGAGTATTTTGGGCTTCGGGCCGGACTCGGGCTTCAGAAATGAAGGTCGGGCTTTTACAAGCCCGGCCCGAAACCCGGCCCGGCCCGACGTTTGCCCAGGTTTACTTCCCATTATCTAGCGTTTGTCTTTTACTGTACTGTTTTCTTCTACCGGTTTTGAAAACGTTCTAGAAAGTTCCCAAACTGGTTTTCTGCCCTGGTTTTATTGTTTTATCATTTCTAACTTTTATTTCTTTGTTTTTTTCAGTTTTTTCTTTTTTCTATTTATTGCTTCCTGTTACTGTTTTTCTTCCTTTTTCTGTTCTTTCTTTTTTCCCCATAATTTCATTTTTTTGCAAAATGTTCTGAATTTAAAATTTTGTACAAAAATTCAAAAAAGAGTTCACTAAGGTCACTATTCACACTATATTGACCTAAAATTTGTTTTTAATAGTAGTCAAAGGTTTTTTTGTGAGATTTTTTTCACAAGTACAATGTTGGAAGGTCAAGTTTATTTTAAAAACATTTCCTGGTTTTTTTGACTTTTAATTTAATTACTATATTTATTTTCAAATGGGGTGTATATACACCCATATACCAAAGTCAAGGACCACTGCATGTCATGTGCATTTCATCTAGGCGCTTGTCCTTTGCCAAGACGTGGACGCGCACTGAAGACACAAATCGTGCAGGCATTGACTGCCTGCCTTGGCCAATTTGGGAAGAAGATTTGGACGGTGATTCAGTCCGCGGAGAAGGAATAAAATGATTTTCTTTATTTATAAATAGCAAAACATAACATTCAGTATATATACTTGCCTTTTTCAATCGGTTTGCTACCAAAGATTGATATACTAATCAAGCATTTCTATATTTACGATCAGGTCTGTATATATATATATGCACCACCGAAGTTCATACGATTTCTTACCAAACACTATACATAAACAGCACATAGGAATACTTGATCAAGGCAATCAATCGTGGCACAAACAAACCATGAGGCGGCGTTGGCAAGCTCTCTCCTTCTGTCTTGTCATCCTCCTCTTCACCCTTGTCTCGTCCAGCGCTTCCACTCTACAAGACACTTGCAAGACCGTCGCCGTAAATAACAAGGACATCGGCTATGACTATTGCATCAAGTTTTTCCAGGCCAACAACGCCAGCGCCACCGCCGACAAGCGCGGCCTCGGCGACATCGCCACCGAGATTAGCCGCGCAGCAGCCTTGGACATCGGCAAGCGCATCGACACCCTCATGGCTTCGGAGAAGGACAAGACGGTCCATGGGCGCCTCTCCGACTGCCGCGTGCTGTACTCAGCCGCGGTCAACATGCTCAAGTCGGCGGCAAACCTCAATGCCGTGATATCGGGCACCGACACCTGTGAGCAAGGGTTCCGCGTGCTAGGCGTTACTTCACAACTAGCCGCCGATGACGCCGATTTCATTAAGGACTGCTCCATTGCTCTCATTATAACGAGCTCGTTGTTGTAGCTAGCTAGCCAAGGATGTGTGAATCTGGCAAACAGTTCTAGCTAGGAGTCCATGATCATTTGGATCGATCAATAAACTCTTTGAACCCACAATCTTAGATCAATGAACTTAGCATATACATAACTTTCACGTGATTTTGAATTTCTTTATACTGAATTTGTTTTGTGGTGAATGCAAATAGCAATCATCAAAACTATGGCATACAATTCGCGTATAATTGTGGTGATAGAATGAATGCATAATCACAAATTAACGCTCATGATTATTTACGAAATATGATGCCATGAGATGAGATACACCCACGCTAACTAATTTCAGAGAAAGAGCCGGACAGCTATGGCACCAACCGCTAACGTAGGACCGCGAACCGCTAACGCAGGACATCCACTGCAGCGGCTTGCCCTTGCTCGACGACGACGGTGACCCTGCATGCATTTTATAACCATTAATTATACGAAAATGGTCTTTGGTGGCTTGCGCTCGTTGCGATCGGTGCAAGCCATTAAGACGCGTCCGTATTTTCACCGTATTTATGCCAGAGTCGGCTGCCGATCCTCCGTATTTGCTATTTAAATAAACTCTGCGGGCACACATACACGAGCAGTACACCAGTGCAGCACAGCATATAATCATAGACGAGTGTACACGGCACCGGAGTTGACCCGTCAAGGTGTGCGACGACAGGGAGCCGTTTGAGTCGAACGTTGAGGATTCTGCCGTTGCCTTGGTCTGGCCGGCTATTTATAGGAGAGATGGCTCTCCATCGCAGCCACAGCGTGCCCAAACAAGTTCGACATGGCTTCGTCTTCATCCTCGGTTCGTTCCAGGCAAAGGCTTCAGCACTTGCCGCTCATCATGTGCCCGGAGTTTGTCTGATTTGCTTCCTGTGACTGGATCCGTTGCTTTGCTCCCAAATTTGGATGCTGCAGTAGCAACAATTACATGCTTGCAGATTAAGAAGAAGGAGCACTGCATGTCACGTCCATCCCATGTAGGCGCTTGTCGTTTGCCAGGACGTGAATGTGCACCAAAGACACAAATTGTGCAGGCATTTGTCTGCCTGCCTTGGCCAATTTGGGAACAAGATATTGACGGTTATTCGGTCCATGGAAAAGGAATAAAATGATTTTGTTTTTGTTTATAAATAGCAAAACATAACATATATTCATTATACTTGCCCTTTTCAATCGGTTTGCTCCCAAAGATTAATATATACCAATCAAGTAATTAAAAGCACTCCTTCTCGGAAAAAAAATACCACTCAAGTATTTCCATATTTACGTACGAACAGGGCTATATATATTCACCATCGAAGTTCATACGATTTATTATCAAACAAACACCATATACATACATAAACAGATACTCATCAATCAAGCTAAGGCAATCCGTAACCGTGGCACAAAGTAACAAACCATGAGGAAGCATTGGCAATCTCTCTCCTGTTGTATCCTCTTGATCCTCGTCTCGAGCAGCGCTTCCACTCTAGATCACATGTGCAAGTACGTCGCCACAACCCGCAAGGACATCGGCTACAATTACTGCATCAAGTTTTTCCAAGCTGACAAAGCCAGCGCCACCGCCAATAACCGCGGCCTTGGCGTCGCCACAAAGATCAGCCGCGCAGCAGCCTCGGACACCCTCAAGCGAATCGACACCCACATGGCGTCAGATAAGGACAAGAAGATCCATGCGCGCCTTTCTGACAAAGCTCGACCCCCGCATCGCCAGCCTTGGGCGACACGGGGGAGATTGCGCCACCGCACCCTACGCCTCCTTGCCCCAATCTCTCCCTTCTGCCGGCGCCCGAGTTAATGCCGACGAAGCCCTGGCTGTGGGCTGTGACGGCGGCGGCGGGGACTTCTCCCTCGCGCACGGTGGTGTCTCCATCTGGCGTCGGCGACATGGACACTCCGGTGATTCGGCGGCGCGGTGCGGCGGGATCCCGGTGGCGGATGCGGCGACAGCGACAGCGGCAGCGCGGCCTCCCCCAGCAGAGGCGCCCCTGTGCCAGTGGCCTGAACCTCAGATCTCGCCGGGCCCAGATGGGCTTAGGCGGGCCGACGGATCTGGTGCGCGACGGCAGGCTAGCGTGGTGGGCTTGACGTAACCGGCTGCTCTGGCACCATGGTGGTGCCGTGGCCGGTCAGGCGGTGGTGGCTGGGTCCTTTTGGTATGTTCCCCGAAATAGAAGGTGGCGATCCGTGCACAAAAGGCTGGATGGAGTTCTTCGAACAAATCTCGGTCAAAACCTGCTCTCGGCTAGATGCCAAGACCTATGATGGCGACGTTCTTTGATGTCATTCCTTTCTTGGAGGCATCATCATGGAGAAGTTCTAGGCCAACATCTGCTACCTCCGGGGGAAACTCTAGATCAGTTGATCGGAAGACTGCGGTGCTCTTGTGTCGTTTTCACCTGGGGTCGTCGTTCTCCGAGGTGTGCACGAACTCGAGGAACCAGTGGACCGCAACTTTGGTGGAGCGGTGCTTCATCCAACACATTGATGGTGATGGATCTCGACGGCGTGGTGCAGTGCAGATTCGGCATCCGATGTGTGGGGATGGACTTGCGTAGGAGGAGGACGCTACCTGGCGTCCTGGTGGCGTCGATGACAGAGAGGCCTGACACGGTCGATGCATGTCGGGCCTGAAGATGGATCGATGGAAGACGATGGTGTCGGGCCTTGCAGGGTGCGCATGTGGTGCGCCCTATGAGTGCGCCGGACTGGTGTCTGACCCAGTCCCGGTATGTGGCTACTCTTGGGCATCCGGCGTTAGATGTTAGACTTTGGTGCGATGTCTGTTTGGTATTAGGCTCGGACATTCGGCACCCCTTCATCAAAGGGATAGGAGTAGCAACAACTGTTGCCTGGATGGTGGCTTCAGGCGTACAGATGTATTACTTCGTACGATCTTTGTAAATAATTAATAAAATGGCTGCATGCATCGTCCAGACGCAGAGGCTAGGGATACATCTTCCTTTTCAAGGTGGCGGTGAACCTCAACGCCGTGGCACTGGACACCTACACGTGTGAGAATGGCTTCCGCGTGCTAGGCGTGAATTCACCACTGGCCGCGGAGGACGCCAAGTTCCTTAAGGACTGCTCCATCTCTCTCATTATAACTGTGTTATGGGATTTGCACGATGTATTGCTCATATGCAAAGGCACGTATATATGATGTACAAGAGGTGGGCCACGACCTCAACTATAAAAGGAACTAAGACATGGGTCCAATACACAGATATGCACAACACATATACTCAACAGCCCCCCGCAGTCGAGGCAGCACCGCTGCTGACGCAAAGACTGGACCGGAACTCCTCAAATGGTGTCGTAGGCACGCCCTAAGTCATGATATCTGCAAATTATTGGGAAGTAGGGACGTGTAGAACTCGAATATGGCCAAGGGCCACCTATTCCCGAACAAAATGAATATCCAACTAATATGCTTGGTCCGTCGATGATGCACCGGATTTCGGAGAGGTAGACCGCCGAGACATTGTCGCAGTTTACCACCGTGGCACGATCAACAGGGCAGAAAAGCTCCTGAAGCAGCTGGAGAAGCCACGAACACTCGGCGACGATGTTGGCCACCGCACGATACTTAGCCTCAGCACTGGAACGAGAGACCGCAGGCTGCCGCTTGGATGACCACGAGATGAGTGAGGGTCCAAGATAGACACAATAGCCCGAGGTGGAGCGACGAGTTTCAGGGCAGCCCGTCCAGTCTGCATCGGAGTAGGCGGTGAGGGCGGTGTCGGCGGAGGTGTGAAGCTTGATGCCAAGATCCATAGTTCCACAGACATAGCGGAGAATCCGCTTGACAGCGGCCCAATGAATGTCCTGAGGAGCATGCATATGGAGACACACCTGATGCACGACATACTGGATCTCTGGCCGAGTCAGAGTGAGGTACTGGAGAGCACCAACGATAGACCGGTAAAAAGCAGCATCCTAAGTAGGAGAACCATTCATGGAAGAAAGCTTGGCCTTCGTATCAACAGGCATGGCGGAGGGCTTGCAGTTAAGCATGCCAGCGCACTCCAGGAGCTCATGAGCGTACTTTCGCTGATGAAGAACGAAGCCATCCGGACGGCGAACCACCTCAACACCGAGGAAGTAGTGGAAAGGACCCAAGTCCTTGATGGCGAACTCAGCGCAAAGACGAGCCGTGAGCTGACTAAGAAGACCAGCCGTACAAGCCGTCAGGATGATGTCATCGACATAGAATTGCAAGTAGGCCACGTCGGAGCCCTGGTGATAGACGAAGAGCGATGCGTCCGAGCGGGTGGAGCGGAACCCAAGCTGGTGTAGAAACGCTATGATGTGCTGGTACCAAGCGCGTGGAGCCTGCTTGAGTCCGTACAAGGACCACGAAAGCAGGCACATGTGGTCGGGAACCGCCGGATCAACAAACCCGATGGGCTGCTGGCAGAAGACCTGCTCCTCAAGGAGACCATGGAGGAAGGCGTTGGAGACGTCCATCTAGTGCACCGGCCAAGCACGGGAGACCGCAAGGTGGAGAAACGTGCATATCGTGCCGGGCTTGACGACCGAAGTGAAGGTGTCGGTGAAGTCGATGCTAGCACGCTGTCAGAAACCATGAACAACCCAGCGCGCTTTATAGCGATCAAGGGTACCATCAAGATGGAGCTTGTGTTTGAAGACCCACTTCCCGGTAATCATGTTGGTGTGCCGGGGACGAGGAACAAGCTGCCACATCCGGTTGCGCAGCAGGGCGTTAAACATCTCTTGCATCGCATCCATCCAGAGCGGGTCACGAAGAGCGGCTCGAACGGAGGTCGGCAATGGTGGCGTAGAGGTGGACACCACATGGATGTAGTCATTCGAGGTGTAGCGCGAGCTCGAGAGAAAAACATTCGTACGGGCGTGGGTGACCGGATCAGCCACAGGCGTCAGTGATGAGGGGGCCGAGGGGTGCGCGGGCGCCGAGGGGGCGGCAGAGGCCGCGGGCGACAGGGCCGTGGGAGGAGGGGG